CTCTCTCTCTCTCTCTGTCTCTCATGAATAAATAAATAAAATCTTTTTTAAAAAAAAAAAGGATGGGCATACTAGTACTACAAATATGTCATCACATACAGGTAACAACTAAATGTGAAAAGAGAATAGTGCAATTATGGACGACTCTTCCAGGGCAAAAAAATTTATTTTTTTTATTTATTTATATTTTGGGGGGGCAAAAAATTTTAAAGAAATAAATACCTTGGCACAACAATTTTCCATTAAATAATTAAATGTTTTAAAATATTTTTTTTTTAAGATTTTATTTATTTATTTGACACACAGAGAGAAAGCACAAGTAGGCAGAGAGGCAGGCAGAGAGAGAGGCAGAAGCAGGCTCTCCACTTAGCAGGGAGCCCGATGCGGGACTCGATCCCGGGACTCCAGGATCATGACCTGAGCAGAAGGCAGTCGCTTAACCAACTGAGCCACCCAGGCGCCCAATATCTTTTTTTTTTTAAAGCTATAGTCATCAAGACAGTATGGTACTGGCACAAAAACAGACACATAGATCAATGGAACAGAATAGAAAATCCAGAAATGGGTCCACAACTATATGGTCAGCTAATCTTCAACAAAGCCGGAAAGTGTATCTAATGGAAAAAAGTCTCTTCAACAAATGGTGTTGGAAAAACTGGACAGCAACATGCAGAAGAATGAAACTGGACCATTTTGTGACAAAAAATAAATTCAAAATGCACAAAATAAATTCAAAATGGATGAAAGACCTAAATGTGAGACAAGAAACCATCAAAATCCTAGAGGAGAACACAGGCAGCCACCTCTTGGACCTAAGCCATAGCAACTTCTTACTAGACACATCACCAGAGGCAAGGGAAACAAAAGCAAAAATGAACTACTGGGACTTCAGCAATATAAAAATCTTCTGCACAGCGAAGGAAACAACAAAACTAAAAGGCAGCCTATGGAATGGGAGAAGATATTTGCAGATGCCCTGATAAAGGCCTAGTATCCAGAATCTCTAAAGAACTTAACAAACCCAACACCCAAAACCCAAATAATCCAGTTAAGAAATGGGAAGACCTAAATTAGACATTTTTCCAAAGAAGACAACCAGATGGCCAACAGACACATGAAAAGATGCTCAACCTCACTCGTCATCAGGAAAACACAAATCAAAACCACGATGAGATACCACCTCACACGGGTCAGAATGGCTAAAATTAACAACTCGGGAAACAACATATGTTGGCAAGGATGAGGAGAAAGGAGAACCCTCTTACACTGTTGGCGGGAATGCAAACTGGTGCAGCCACCCTGGAGAACAATATGGAGTATCCTCAAAAAGTGAAAAATAGAACTACCCTATGATCCAGCAATTGCCCTACTGGGTATTTACCCAAAAGATACAAAAATACTGACTTGAAGGGGCACATGCACCCTAATATTTATAGCAGCATTATCAACAATAACCAAAGTATGGAAAAAGCCCAAATACCCATCGACTGATGAATGGATAAAGAGGTGGTGTGTATACATATTGGCGTGTATACATATATATATGTGTACACACACACACACAATGGAATATTACTCAGCCATGGAAAAGAATGCAATTTGCCCTTTGCAACGACGTGGAAGGAGCTTATGCTAAGCAAAATAAGTCAGAGAAAGACAAACCATATGATTTCACTCGTGGAATTTAAGAAACAAAACAGATGAACATAAGGTAAGGGGAAAAAAAGAGAGGGAAGCAAACCATAAGAGACTCTTAATTATAGAGAACAAACTGAGGGTTGATGGGGGGGCTAGCTGGGTGATGGATATTAGGGAGGGCACTTACAGTGAGCACTGGGTGTTATATGTAAGTGATGAATCACTAAATTCTACTCCTGAGACCAATATTACACTATATGTTAACTAGAATTTAAATAAAAATTTGAAAAAAATAGGTTTTTTTTAAAGGAGACTTTGAAAGTTTAGAGATTAAAAATGAAGCACACAACTGGGAAACAAAATCACCATTTATTGAACAATTCTTATATATTAGCATTATTAATTATGTATTAGCTATATTAAGGCATATATTATATTATATTTATACTTAATCTTCCAACATAAGTATTATTGTTCATAGTCTACAGAAGAAAAATTAGGCTATTTATTTCACTTCCTAAAATTCTTCCGCAGATGTCACCTTTTTAATGAGGTCTTCCCTGGTCAACCTATCTAAAATTGCAAACCCATCCTCCATCCTGAATTCCTTATTTATCTGCCTTGCCTTAAATTCTGCAGGACATGTATCACGTATACAATGTAACCTATTTTTTATCTCCCCTTATGAAAATATAAGCTCTACAAGGCAGAGATTTTTTTTTTCCTCTGTTCTCTTCTGAAACCCCAGCACCCAGTAGAGGACCTCACACAAAGTAGGTATCAATAAGTATTCAAAAAATGAGTAATGAATGAATGAATGTACAGCTGATGCACTGGTGAGTTTCTATGAGTTAGTTCTGAAAGTCTGTTCAACTCAAAGCCTTTCCATGTGTTTATACCAGAATTGTTGAGTGTGTTTGTGTGTATGTGTTGCATAGAAGTTGATCAGGAAAGAAATGAAGTAAGTAAGACTGGTGACAAGGAACTAGGAAATGAAGGTGAGACAGAACATCTATCTGGAGAAAGACAATGCCATTTTTTAAGATGTGCACACAAAGTGTGGTTATTATCTTATTTATTTGTTTGTTTTTACTTATCAGAGAGTCTGATGATACAGGCTCTTACTGGCTTTGAACGTAGAAGGACAGACAACTAAAGCTGAACTGCATGATGAGCTGAGTCTGAGCTAAGGTATGTTTCCCCCAAGGAGGTCTCTTGAGTTCTAAAGCTATGTGGACAATGAGGCTAAAAGCCAATTGGGAAAACTCTGAAAAACAAAGATTTCAGCAGCCCCAAAGTACTGAGGAGATAGAATTGGAATTCAAGTCCCACCAAGAAAAGGGACCAGTATACATTCCTGACTCGTGTGGAATACCTGAAAGGCTAGGTCTTAGGAGCAAGGAAAAGCAGAAAGAGTCTGAACCTTACCATAACTGTACCTCTGTCTCATCTCAGAGATAATCACCCACCCCCACCCTGCACACACGCAAACACACACACACACACACACACACACCTCCTTATCGGAAACAAGGATGAGTCTCTGGCCAAAGATAACATCACCCGAAGCCTTTGTAGTTGCCCTAAATAATGTTGGGCAGTCAATTACATTATGGCATGAGGAAAGAGACAACCAAATAACAAAAGAAAATATCAAACAACAGAAACACATACAAAGTTGATCTAGGTACTGAAATTAACCATTTAAAGTCCTTATAAGCTATGATTAATATGTTCAAGAAATAGAGGAAAAGATGGCAAATACAGATTTGTTAAATTACAAATTCCACCAAAGAATATAATCTAAAAAGGAATAGAACAGAAATTCTAGAATAGAAAACTGTAACAAAAACTAAAATTAACTCAATAGATGGGCTTTAGCAGATTAGGCACAGGAAATTTAGTAAACTGGAAGACAGATAAATAGAAAACATTCAGTATCTAAGAGTTTAGTGTATATTAAAAAACAGTTTTAGGGGACAGCATCATTGATTTTTATGAATGATAATAAAAATAGTAACACATACTAGTATGTACTTGCAACTCTTCTAGGCACAGTATATTTAATCCCTATAAAACCAACGAGGTAGGTAGTATCCTATTAATATCTCCCTTTAACAGACAACAAAACTGAAACAGAATGTAGATAATTTTGCAAGCTAGTGAATGGATAAGCCAGAATTTGAACTCAGGCAGTTTGACCCCAAAGTCCACGTAATCAGTAAACTATACTGCAGTGATTAATAACAATTGAGGTTTGGTAAAGTTATTTATATTTCTTACTATCCTCTTAAATCCCTCTCAGCATAGATGGAATTACTAATTAGTAACTGCTCTAATGACGATTTTGTAAGCAATTTAAAATTAATTCTAAGTTATGCCATGATGCTTTTATATGGCCCATCAGAGAAAAGCTTGGTCAGTTGGCCCCACAGGTACAGCAAGGTAGTGACTCAAAATGCAGGTTAGCATAGGAGGAAAGAAATACTCTCTACAGTATCAGCCTTGAAAATTCAAACCTATAAAATGACAGCCCATATAATATAAAATTGTGGAAGAGAAATATTCAGCACAAATACTCAAAGAAAGAAATGGTAGAACTATCTAAAGAGAGAACTTCTTACAAAACCCACATGGGACACAGAGAACTCCTCTCAAATAGCACATGTGACAGCAGAGTTTAAGCTGGACTGAACTCATATACCAATTTGGGATTATAGTATAAATTCTGAAACTATTCTAACAAAAACATCTTTCCGTTCTCATCACATGTTGAGAAAGCCACCAAGAAGCCTTCTCTTAGCACCAAATGCCCTTTTTGATTATCAAGAGGAACTATAAAATTAATTTGTAGTGAGAAAAAAACTAAAAATGCTCAGGGAAACTGTTACCTTCACCTCCTGGCATTTTGCCATTAGAAATAAAGCTCTTGCTATAAAATTTTTTAAGTTCAAGAAAAAATGCCTCCTATAATGCACTTTTCTGTCTTTAGACACCTAGACCCAGAAGATTTTGTAAAGTCCGTGTTTGTGGTCTTGATTTCTAGGAAACATTTTAAAAGTTCTGCTGATAATGTTTGCAAGGCTAACGCACTCTGGACAATGTTACTCTGTGTACTACCTGTAAGGTGGGCAAAGCATCAAACCAGGGTTTTAGCTTCTGAAAGAGGCACAGGCACTCCGTGTTCTTCCCAGGCATATCTAACCATCACCTTTCATAACAGTGAGAACCTACCACATTTCCAGAAAACATCTAAGACTAAATTTTGGAAACTTCCGGTCACAGAACAAACTTAGGTTCTCTGACGAGAACTTAGAGAAAGTTCTTCAAACAACAGAAAACATTAAAAAAATAATGCTTACCTTTGAATATTTCTGTAACTCGGCGTCATCTGCAATCTGCGTATCCAAAGTAGCCACCTAAATTTGCAAGAAAAAAAAATCTCCAATATCTGTAAAAGCATAACTTTATTTCTTCTTAGGTTTTCTAAAAACAAATCTGTAAACCCTATATATTGCTAATACCATCTGATATGCATTCTCATCTTTTTCTAATATTTCTGAAATCCAGAAGTATAATACATAATGCAAAATTTCAGAGAATACTTTTTTTTGTTATTACTGTTTTCTATAGCAATCTTTTCCCCTATATTACTCAGTTGAACCAGAAGGGGATGGGCAAAACACATACAGTATTTTTAAAAATCCATGACCCCTAAAATTTTAATATAATCCTCTGTTGTAAGGAGTCCATACAAATTTTATCCTTTTAACAAAGCCAAGAGTATAATCATTTTTACTTTTAAATTCAGGCCTTAAAACAAAATTTGCCAGGTCAGTTAAGTGAGACAAGTTTGGAAAAACTGAAGCATCTGACTTTCCACAGCAAACTCCACCATTTCCCTGGGAGAAATAGCTGGAAAGGACACAAACAGAAAGACCTGGCCTGGTGAGAAGCTCATGGAATACTTAAAGCTCTTAATCCTAGCCTAGCCTCGCCTCAGTGGTAGAGATTGACAGAAGTGAATTCCTAGCAAGCAAAATACTTTACTGATGATTTGCATCTGTAAGTTGTTAATGAAGTATGGTGCAGCTGGAGGGAGGGGTAAGTTAAGCAATGATCCAACTAAAGCTTCTAGAAGTACTACATTTCATATAAGTAGATTCTAGAAGAAAAATGAAATCAGAAACACTGGAGTACATGAGTGCATGCATGCATTTATTTATCTTGCCTGGTTTCTCCTTTCTGCTCCTCATCCCTCAAAACAGCAAGAACCCTTAACGAATAAGTTGTCATTTTAAATTCCCAACCTCAAATTCTGTCTCCTCTTTCTCACCATTATGTTATGCTCTCACTCCTTATAACACTCCTCACTCCTTATAACTACTCCTCCGAATAAATTTGGAGGAGTAGTTATAAGGAAGATAAAATTTTAACCAAAAAGAGCCCAAAACTGTCCCATTTATAAATACTGGGACACCAAATTACTTTGAATATCAAACCACTAAGAATAGTAGAAAAAGTTATTTGCTAAGGTGACAGCCTAATAACAAAACATTTGCACTCTATGAAGTAAGGAAGCAGCAGTTCATGAGGACCAAACGAAAGTATGAAATTAGCAAGAATAGAGAATGGAATGTTTTAACTCATCTTAACGACACTGGAAATTTTCTGACAGTAAGATAGTGGTTGTATGTTCTGAACTGAGAAAAAAAATCTCCAACCAGCCAACAAGTACTAATGATAAACATATGTAAGAAAACATGAATGACAATAGAAATTTAATAGAATATTTTATTACTAATGCATTTAGTGAACACTGTAGAAGCTTTTCTAAGCACAGCTTTCTGCTTTCACGTGGATTCATAGGGGGGAATGTAATCAATCCCTCACTCAATGAATCTAGTAACAGGTGAAAGGAAGTCTAATGGACCACTGGTGCTATAAACTTATACCCGACCTAAATTACTTCCTGTTCTCCCTAATACATTTGATAATCATTCTTTCATTTTTCTCATAAAACTGTAAGATTCTTTGTGAAACATAGGACTAATATCCACAGCCCTTTCAGTGTACAATAAAACAAACAGATCATAAAAGCAATCATAAAAGTGCCAGCAATTTTAAGCAGCTGATACAGGTTGTAAATTTAAAGGCAAGTCTTCTAAGGTTCTTCTGCCTACCGTTGACTTAATTGTTTTCAACATGAACCAAGTGTCTGCTAATTATAACTGAAACTTGTGTGCAGTCCTTAATTCTTCTTACAGCTTAAAATGTTGAAAGGTAAAAACATCAATTGATCCACTAGGGAAGAAAGGCAGGAGGAAAAATCAAGGCAAGCTGGCTAATCTTGGGCTCTCCCATTTCTTTAAACTGCAATGTTAGGAACTTGACCTGCAATGAGACTTTTTTTTAAATTATAATATTTTAACATACCATTACTTCATAATCCGGGCCCAAGAGGTTTTCCCATCTAGATTTCAGCTCATTTTCTGTAGAGTCTGGGACCTTTTCTGGATTTAAAAAAAAAAAAAAAAAATGAAGCTACTCTGAGCCAAACTTTACTAAATTCCTCAATAATAGCACAGTTCCAGTAAGTAAAAGGGAAATGAATAAAAAGGAAAATGCATTAACTTGGGTCTACCAGGTAAAGGAAATCAGAGGTGACTTATAAGACTGACATAAAATGTAAGGCCAGTTGTGACCAAATTACGAAGGGGCTTTTGTGAAGGACTATTTTAAAGGGAAGAGAGACATGATGAGTTAGAAATGAAATTTGAAATATATGCACTTTATATGTAAACATCCTGCAGTTTACAAGTAAAATACATCTGGCTTTGCTTTACAATATGTTAAGACAAACAAGGATTGAATTTAAATGTTAATCACTTCAAAGTAATACCTTCCACTCACCCACAGAAAAAGTAAAAACTTATCAAGACATCTTTACCATCAACCGGGCATATCAACACAATCCGGTCAGACTTCTCATTTGGGCGGATATAAAACCATGTCTGGTTTAATTCAACAAGGGAGATGCATGAGCTTTAACATACTAGAAACTCTGTGTACTTTGGTCTCATGTGGTTACTTGGTTATACCTTTGTGACTCTTGAGTAGAATATTGCTTTTGCTTACGTGTAAGATAACATTAAAGAACTAAGACAGATTTTAAGTGCCCTGCGTGTCCTCCATTATGATCTTAGCCAGAAGCTCAGGACACAGTTCATAGTCTGAATAATGCCTAATAGGCAAAAGTTAAAGTACTAAAAATACAATTTCAACTTATATCCATAGCAGCAGCAGAAAATAAACAAACCTTCACCTTTTTTTCTTTAAGTTAAAGAAAAACTCAATTTTGTCACAAGATTAAACAAGTCACAGAACACTTACTCCAGCTGACATAACCATCTGTCTAAAATCAAACATAACTTGCAGTATCAGCTCTTTCAGTCTTCAGCATGGACAGCTCATCTTGGATGCATATAATGATTAATTACATAATGCAAATCATCAAGTAAAGGCTAATCTCAGAATTCAGAGCCTAAGACTAATAAACACTAAAGAGCTTAACTCACTAGATGTACAAAAGAATATCCATGAAATAACTGTATCAACTGACATGCTAGGTTACATGTAAGGGATAACCAAAGATATTATTAAAAGCAAAATATCATTCACGTGGGCTCTGCACCTTTTGCACTTCCATAAGAAATTACGTTAAGAGTTCTACCATCTTTGTTAAGTTTCTTCCGTGTAGCAGTTCCTTATCCGGTAAGCTAATTTGCAATGTTTTGGTTGAATTTTAAGCTTAAAAACATGATATTTAAAGATGACATTCCATACACATGTATAAAATGATATCTCACCCACAATTCTTTTAACTTTTTCATCTTTCATTTGTACAATGGAAGTACAGATAGTCATGAGTTTTAAAGCATAGCACAAAGCTAAGTACCAGAGGAAAAAGACTATTTTCACAGCCCAATAAATCCTGGGCAACACAAAGTGACTTAAAAAAATGAACAGTATGGTGATCTGAAACAACTATTCAAATGGCAATGAAGGGGAGCAGAATATGCCACCCCAAAATATGCCATTTTAGCATGTAGAGTATTTTGAGCTAAAGGCAATCAAGACCCAGCAGACTCAGGAAAAACTTTTACCTCTCCCTTAACTACCTAAAAGAATTTAGATAGGAGGGTTATACCAGAAAGAGCTATTACAGAGATAACCTTTTTATCTGAAAGACCTATTGGCATGGCACAGCAAACTTTTAATTACCAAACATTTGCTTTTCTTACCATGCTGCGAATTACCCTCCTCATCTTTGAAGCCCCAGGCCTCTATCCTACTCCTTAATTTAGAATGGCTTATAAACCTCAATTGCCCAACTTACTCTTGGGTCTCATATTTTTATGGGGCTCCCATACTCATGAAATTTGTTTTTCTCCTATTAATCTGTTTTATGTCAATTTAATTATTAGACCAGTCAAAGAACCTAGAAGGGAAGAAGGGAAAGTTTTTCTGCCCCTATAGCAAAAAAGACAGCTAACTTCTTAGCAGTTCAAGGACTTTGGTCTTACTGTCAAGCTGAAATTATATATATTCATGAAGGAAAAAAATGCAATGAGATTGATCCAAAGAAAGCAGATAAAAGTGTCTGAAAATATTTCTAACTTCAGAATGTATTTGATTTTCACACAATAGTTCCATGAAAATCTATCTGGGTTCACTTGAACATAAATAGCAAAGATCTAACTTAATCCACTTGGGTCAAAAAGAATAAGGTAAATTTCCAAATTATAGGAAATTTTTTAACTTGAATGCGGGGTTACTCCTTCCCTGAGGTCATCCTTTCCTGAGACAAGACAATCGAAGCCAAAACTTCTCTGGAAGAGGATGGTGTTAAGTATTCCACTTCATTCAACTGTCAAGGCTTTCCAGAGCACTTCTGTGCAGGGAATTGTGTGAGACTGCTATTCAAAATGCTTCCAGAACAGAGTCAGCTATGTAGCCAAGGTATCAGAGTACCAAGTAAAAGGACAAAGTGGTACATAAATTAAAAAGATTAAAATATAAATATACAGCAAGCTGGCAATTTGATAAAACATGTAAATATGTATACATTATGAATTATTACGGTAAAAGGAAACACTGCTATATGTATAGAAAGCTAGATATCTATAGCTATATCAAAGATAATACATATTAACACATGCACTAATTAAAAACGCTGACAAGATTAAAAAATAGTTAACACTAACAAAAGTGCATGCAAAATTAAAGATTAAACAATAACATGCTTGGTCCCTAACTGCCACAAGTGTTAAGATGTTGATATTAAGAATATCCTATTTTGGGGATGCCTGGGTGGCTCAATCAGTTAAGCATCTGCTTTCGGCTCAGGTTATGATCCCAGGATCCTGGGATCGAGTCCCGAGTTAGGCTCCTTGCTCAGTGGGGAGTCTGCTTCTCCCTCTGCCTGCCGCTCCCTCTGCTTGTGTGTTCACTCTCTCTCTCTCTCTCTCTCAAATGAATAAAGTCTTAAAAAAAAGAAAAAGAGTATCTTATTTTAGGGGCACCTGGGTGGCTCAGTCACTTAAGCTTCTGCCAGGGTCCTGGGATCGAGCCCCATGTCCCCTCCCTGCTCAGCAGGGAGTCTGCTTCCTCTCCCTCTGCCCCTGCCCCCACTCATGCGCTCGCTTGCTCTCTCTCACTCACTCTCTCTTTCAAATAAATAAATCTTTAAAAAAAAAAAATCCTAATTTGTATCTTTCAAAATGCCTCTAAAATTTCTCACGTTATATTAACTATAAAGAGAGAAAATGGTTAACAAATGAGAAAGTCATGCTTTGTGCCTACCTAATTTTTCTAAGGCTTGTATGTTGTCATTTTTCAGAATATCCATTCTTTTTTCAGTTTCCTCATCCCCGCCATCCAAGTCAGTTTCAGTTTCCACTGCTCCAGTTAGGTAGCAGGCTGGTGTTTCCGATGGTTCTACAGCAGTTCCTAAAATAAGAATTGCTACCTTGAATCACTAGTAGCTGAAGACCATATTTAAGTGAACTTATTCCAGTCCTGTTCACAACCTCATGACAAACATCTCAGGTAACTTACATATATGATTCCTTTATTGAAAACGATAAGGAACCAGGCAATGGGAAGGTAAGATTAAGGTAAAGTTGCTGACAAAGCAGAAGTAGATACTTTTCCACATAGCCTTGTAAAAGAAAAAGAACACTGAGGTCTTATACTCTTGTGGTTGTGGTGGGTAAGGAGCAAGATATGCAGAATAAGCCCATTCCAGTGCCCTGGGCTCTTCTAGGTTCTGGCATGACTTCATCAAGAGTTTAAAAAAAAATAACTCTGTGAATTGGAAGGGACTTGGAGAGAATTCCCCTGGTTGCAGTGGTTCCTCCCTTAGCTAAAGTGAGCTAAGTAAAGATTTCAATCTCAAGCATGCAAGTCATAATGTATCTCTTAAAACACAAGAAAGGTTGAACAAGAGTCATTTTAGGTCATTTTTAAATGATCACACATGGCGTATAAAGTATTCCTACCAAAAATATTTAACCTGGATCTAAGGCTTTATATCTAGCTTCTCACAGGAAACATAGTGGATAGAGGAACAAGTTGAATTATACCACAAGGACAATTAAATTCAGAATGTAGTATTCTAGTGACAAATGGACAAATCCCTTTACAGTAAGTCTGTGCCACAGAGGCAGGGGTGGGGGAATTCTTCTAGATTAAGAAACCAAAGAAACATAATGCAGGCAGTAAGTCCAATGTGTGATTGAATCTTAATTTTATGAGGTTTTTCCTTCAGAGAGGGGGAAGAGGGAAAAGAAGCTACAAAAGACATTTGGGGGCAATATGTTAAGTATTTGATATTAGGGAATTACAATTAATTTTCTTTGGTGTGATATTATTATTATTATACAATATCTTTATTTTTAGAAACTACAGATCGAAGTATGTAGGACTAAAGTGCCATGATGTCTACTATTCAATCTTAAATGATTAAGGAAAAAAGATAAATAGATGAAACAAATATGGCAAAACATTAACTGCTAAATCTAAATGGTAGGTTGTGGGTATTTGTTATATTTTGATTTTTCTGTATGTTTAAAAAAAATTTTTTTTTATATGTATGTTTAAAAATTTTTACAATACTGTTGACCCATGAACAATTGGGGGATTAGGGGCACTTCCCTTCCCCATGCAATTGAAAACCCACATAAAACTTTAGACTCCCCCTCCCAAATTTAACTACTAATAGCATACTGTTGACCAGAAGCTGTTGATAGCATAGTCAATTAACATATTTTGTGTATTATGTCTATTATATACTGTATTCTTACAATAAAGCTAGAGAAAAAATTTTATTAAGAAAATCATAAGAAAATACATTTACAGAAAGTACAGTACTGTACTGGATAAAAATCCATGGATAAGTGGAACTACACAGTTCAAACCTGTGCTATTCAAGGGTCAACTATAAAAAGTTGAAAAATATAACCAGTTAAAAGTTCCCATGATCTTGGGGTGCCTGGGTGGCTCAGTTGGCTAAGTGTCCGACTTTTGATTTCCACTTGGGTCATGATCTCGGAGTCCTGGGATGGAGTCCCATGTGGGGCTCCGCTCAGCAGGGAATCTGCTTCTCTCCCTCTCTCTCGAGATGCCCCTCCTCCCACTAGGCACTCGTGCTCTCACACTCTCTCTCAAATAAAAATACTGTAAAAGAATTTTTTTAAGTTCCTATGATCTTAACATGACATTTTTAACCACACATAAAATTTCTTAGATCATTAATCCATTGATACAGACAAAAAGCACAGCCTAGTACTAGCCAAAGTAATGTGGCCAGAAGCTGGTAGTGTCCCTGGGGAAAATAGTTACATACCAGAGTTTATACTACAGAGCAGTACATTATGTAATTGAATGCTACAAGTAGTATCCAAATTGGTACACAAATAGGATCTACAACGTATACAAACAGGAGTTTAGAGGCCAAAAAGACAGATTTAGAATGGTAGAGGAAGGTATTGCCCAAGAGCTAGAAGTCGTGAGGTTTGCTGCAGTAAAACAGACAAATGCTGGCTGTGGACGGCACACAAAAATGTTGTTACATGGGACAGGGAACCAAGGCATCACCATTCCCCTACATAGGTGGCTGCACATCAAACAGGTGATTGCTGCAAGGTATGATAAATGCTACAGTAGAGCACTCTTCCAAGGGTGCTAGTAAAACCCACACAAAGGACCTCTCAACCACGGAAGAAGTGTAAGTTTAGAGTCAAAATTTATCCCAACATAAATTTAAAATGTAGGCATGTGCAGGCAAGAACTGCTAATTCGCATATGACATACTTTATTTGATACTGTAGACTGAAGCCAAGGGCTCTATCAGAGCTATTAAAAACCATTATGTTGATATAAATATTTATGTAAACCTTTTAAGGTCAATATAGCATTTGTACAATCTGTACTATTTAGGTGATTTTTAATTTCATACATACGATGCAGTTGACAGGGCATCTGTCTTTCAGCAGCAAAATTTCCACTATCACCTAAAACTTAAAAAGTTCCGATTTAAGTATCAATCAGTATCAACTGAAAGCAAGGCTTCCAATAAAATCTTTAAAAAAAAAAAAAAAAAAAAAGGAAGGCTTCCAGGCTTATTATATCTTCAAAAGAGAGAGGGAAAAAAATGTATTCCTCTTCTGACAAATTCTAAAGGAATTATTTCTTACTAGTTCTCTAACTAGTAATTCATTTTACATTGAATTTGTTTTTCAGGATTGTCAAGTTTTATTGATCTACACATTAATAACTTGGTAATTAAAAAACTGGGATGCATATAATTATTTGTTCTATAACGAAAAGTTGCTATTCTTTAATCAAATAACAGGTATTTCACAAATAAAAATATCTTTAATAGAAATCCAGGTTTTATTTTTCCCCTCTGTATTTTTTTTTTTTTTAAGATTTTATTTATTCATGAGAGACAGAGAGAGAGAAAGAAGCAGAGGGAGAAACAGGCTCCCAAGGAGCAGGGAGCCCGATGCGGGACTCGATCCCAGGACCCTGGGATCATGACCTGAGCGGAAGGCAGACGCTTAACCATCTGAGCCACCCAGGCGCCCCCCTCTGTATTTCAAAGAGTAAATTGGGAGACATTAGAATCAAATATATTGTTAGAAGTCATAAGAAATCCGAAGTGTGCAAAATGTCAAAGCATTAGACAAATGAGAGCCCCTAGAACAAAAGGTGTCAAAGCTTTATTATTCAAATATAAGTAATAAATGAAATTTAGAAGCTTTTCGGAAAAACGATTTCCATCTCCATTTAGAACAGCTCTCAGAGCTTAATGCATGTCAGGGTTCGTGTTCTAACATTTGGACTGGCACATCATAATAGGCAAAGGAAACTCTTCTTCAATGCACAAATGAGTTGATTCATTTCTCCATCACTGCATTACAAAAGATGGGCAGTTTTTCCTTCCCAGACTCACAGAACAACTTCCATAAGTAAGCTATTCTTCCAAGTCCAGACTATGGGGTGGTGAGAGGGATAGTGGCATTAACTACCTGTGTTGTATTGTGTGGAGCACTGGGCATTATATGCAAACAAGGAATCGTGGAACGCTACATCAAAAACTAATGATGTACTGTATGGTGACTAACATAATACAATAAAATAAATAAAATAAAATAAAATAAAAACTACCTGTGTCTGAAGGCCATTCGAGTGGAGAAGCAGACGAAGACGTCTTCCTTCGAATTAGGGTTAGGTGTACCACTTGCCCTGCATTTCGTAATACTTCAACAACATCCTGGTTCGCAAAACCCTGAATATTCACACCATCGACCTAAAATATTAGGAGACCCATTACACAGAGGTTTCAGGTTAGCTGCTATTTTCACTTCTGACAAGGCAGAATAAAATTAGGCTTCTATCCCCTGAAAATCACAAGGCATTTCCTAAGCCAAGAGTCATGAAAGATGCTTCCTTAGATGGACCTGAAGGACAAAGATTCAAATGACACCAACAAACATTTGCTTCTATGCAAATCACTAAATTAAATGTGTCTATGCAGATATGTGGGTTTATGCTTCAAAAATAGTATTCAAATAAACTTTAAAATTTAACCAATTTCTACTAAATGGAGAAAGACCAGCCTGAATGGACAAAAGGTAATTACTATATTCCCCAGTATATAAAATATCTCAAATTTGTATGTACTCAAAATTACTTACTGTTAGTAGAAACATTAAAAAGACCTGGTTAATAGCTTCCTAAAATGTATATAAAATGAGTGAGTTTAAAGAACATAGAGGTGCTTGGAAGTCTTTTTTTAGGAGAATGCTAGAATATCTTTCCCATATATGTGTGTGTGTGTGTGTGTGTGTATATAAATATATTTTTTCCCTACCATTATGGTTAGTGACTCCTTTCTTCACACACAGTAAAAAAACAAAAGCAAACACAGAAAACAAACTTAGGACCCTGAGAGCCAAATCAATGAGATTTCACTGAACTTAATTTTTTAAAACATTATGATATTATATAAAGCCATTCTCCTCTCATACACACTATAATCAAGATAACTTCTTTTTCCCAACTTGATTCAATTCTAAAACAAAGGGCAGTTACTTACAGCAACTATTTTGTCGTTCACTTGAATTTGGCCATTGTGGTAAGCAGCACTGCCAGGTATTATACTTTTCACATAAATCCCTGAAGCCTCCCCTGAGGTGCACAAAAACATATGGAAAAAGGAAGAAAGCTCTAATTAGACCTTGATTGCAAAATTCATATCAAGAGGTTAATTAGCTAGAGGGGCTGACTCGAGGCTTGATAAATACTATTTTGAACACAAGCAGAGAAATTGATGGGTTATTTCAAACTGTCACCACCACAAGTGACCCGAATTTGAAATGATGTGACTGATGACTATTTCTGGAAAAGCAATCAGTAACGGAAGCTTGATGAAATGCACTCTACTATGAGCTGGAATTCAGGAGAACCCAGGCAGTCTCATCCTCTTCTTTTGGGCTGTCCCCCTTCTTCCTGCTGCCTTGGAGACTTCTCACTTTTCACCAGCACTAAGACAAGAGTCTCCGACCGGTCTTCCTGCCTACATTTAGTTCACTGCTCATGTTAGCTTCCCAGACACAGAAAAGTACACACAGTGTTTATAAAAAAAAAAAAAAAAGAATTTCAGCAATATTAAATAATCTTCAATTATAAAATATTTAAATACAAACAAATGGCTAAATAAAAATCACAACTATATAAAAAGCATACATGCCTATGGGCAAAGACTTAGAAGAGAAACTAGAAAATGAAAAACCGTAACTCTGGATGATTTTGTATTTTTATTCTTTCATTTCAAATGAACTTAAAATGTTGCCCATAGAAGAAAAATAAACATCAATGAATTCCTACTGCCTACATAATAAAATGTAAATTTCACAGAATCATATTCAAGGACTTCCATAATCTGCCCAAAACTTTTTTTTTAACTTATCTTCCAACTGCCATCCCTCCAAGACAAAGTCCACACACGCAAGACTCTTAATATTTCACCAAAACATTAAGTACTGTCATATTATCCCTTTTCTTTTTTCTTCCTATAAACCTCATCCCTTCCACCAAAATCCTTTTTCATGCCTAGCACAAATGCCTCTTTGTGAATTCTTTATTTCGCTTCTGTCAAATGTAATCTTTCATCTGCCATATGATAGTTTGCTTATAGCTCTGCTAAGACACATATTTCATTTACCCTTAAACAATTAAGAGCTATTTTATATTTCTCTGACTAGACTTTTCTTATATTCATTTTTCTATCCTTTCAGAACTAAGCAAAGTAACCCCCTCAAACATCCAATGAATAGAATAAAACAAAAATTACTCTGAAAGACTACATGTCAAATAGTATACTGAATTTTTAAATGCTCTAGTTTTTGGATTCACCATTGCCCCCCCACAAAGTCCCCAAAACTTCTTTTGAGAGTAAAGAAGTAAAATGACTCTCTTCTTTATTCAGTAACATAAACATCAAATTTTCTCAATTTTCTATTGGTTATTCATTTTCATTTTACTTGGTGTGTATATTATACTGTTAGGTTTACAAGAACACTCCAAAAACTTAATATAATAAAGGTTCATAAGCCACAAGTTTATGAACTAAGCCATGATTTTTTCTAACATGACAGCGTATTAAGACCTATTCAATATAGTTTTTTTCCCCAACATTATTATACAATCCATACTTAGCTCTTTTGGAATTCATTTAAATTCTGAACCTAATAAAGGTAGTACTTAGAAAAATCTAAAGGTTTAAAAACAGTTATTTCATTAGGCTAAAATAGCACAAGGTGGTCTGACATGAATTTCATTCAGGACTTGAATACATTAGCACTCTTAATCTTTCCACCTGCTGTAAGTATGCAAAATAATTTTTTTTAAAAAATTAACTTTCTAATCTTGTTATTTTTAAAAAGCCAGAACAATTCATAACTCTGAATTGATGTTACTAGCAAATATTTATCAAAAGGTTTATTTTTCCTTACTCTAATGATTGTCTTATAATAAGAAAGTAACTCTTACAATAAAAGTTACCAAAGCTTTGCATGTAGGAGTTGAGGGAGTGTTATTCAGAGTTACTTGGGCCATGTATGTATTCTTACAATAGAATCCCTTTATTTGACAGGAAAATAATTCTAATTAAAGAATTTGTTTTATGTATTTTTTAGTAATTATAGTAATACTTTTTGACATTCATAGTATGAAATATATACAGTAATCCTTTTATGTTATCACATCTAAAACATCATAATATGTAACAGTCACAATATTTAAAATATATCTTAGAAAAAGAGAAGATACAATTCAAATGTTACACATTGAGTTAGGCAATTAAATGCTTTTGTTAATGACAATCAAGTCAGCTATAAAACTACTGAGGTAAAACCAATTCTCTAATCACTGAAAAGTAACTGGCTTCCACTACAGATACATGGTTTTATTGTTCAGTATTGAAATTAAAATTTGCAGATATTTAATTTTACTATCTAGAAACCTTAACATCCTTTACAATTATTTCCAAATATAAATGATTCATTTACCTGTATGAGCAGTTCCGATATAGCCAACAATTCTAATCCCAAGACTCTGTCCATCTTTTCTAATGAGTTCAACATCATAAGTTTCAAAAACAGAATTGTCCTAAAAGGAAAAAACAATTTTAATTATACATAATATTTAGTTCCATAACTGAGTGTAGTCAATTTGTGCATGGTTTGTCAAGTATTTTTTTAGAACCTATGGTAGAATCTTAAGATGGTCCCCATGACTTTTGATTCCGGCTGCTATTCCTGCGTTTATGTTCCATTATGTGGCAAAGGGGAGATTATCCAGGTGCATCTAATCTAATTCGGGGCCTTTCAAAAGCAGAGTTTTCTGGCTGGCAGCAGAAAAGGAAGTGAAATTGAAGCATAAAGGCTGGACTTGTGGGTTGAAAATGAGGAGGTCCTGTGAGAAGTTATACAGGGCACCTGGAGTTGCTGAGAGAGGTCCTCAGCTGACAGCCAGCAAAGGAAAGAGACTTCAGTCCTACAGCTGCAAGGAATTGTATTCTGCAGATGACTCAAATGAGCTGTCCAGATAATGAGCATCCAGATAAGAGTCCAGACAGCCCTTAATTTTGGCCATGCAGTAATCTAAGCAGAGAGCTCAGCCAAGCCCACCCAGACTTCTGACCTACACAACTGTGAACTAACAAAGCCTGTTGTTTTAAGCCACTAAGTTTGTGTTTTTTGTTTTGTTTTTTTGAGAGAAAGAGAGAGCATGCGTGAGACATGGGGCCTGATCCATGACCCTGAGATCATGACCTGAGCCAAAATCAAGTCAGACGCTTAACCAACTGAGCCACCCAGGCGCCCCTTGTGATAATTTGTTACACAACAACAGAAAACTAATCCAGCCACTTAGAAAAAACTCAGGATAAATTTTTATCTTAAAAACAAACAAAAAAAACCAGAAACAACAACAACAAAAAACAACCAAATATAAAGAAACATTGAGAAACAAATGGTAAGAATTAGTGTGAATAATAATTATTGGGACCAAAAAATATCAAACTAAAACTTACTTTCATTACTTGCCTTCTATTTTTAAGATTTTATTTATTTATTTGACAGAGAGAGACACAGTGAAAAGAGGGAACACAAGCAGGGGGAGAGGAAGAAGCAGGCTTCCCACTGAGCAGGGGGCCCAATCCCAGGACCCAGGGACCACGACCCGAGCCCAAGGCAGACACTTAATGACTGAGCCACCGAGGCGCCCCTAAAATACTTCTTTAAAAGGATTAAGTGTCTAAAAACAGGATTCGATTAAAAACACTAACATTAGAAGGGAAACAGCTGATTGCATCAAATTCTTACTTATCACCCAGCTACACTGGTCCCCACTGCTGAACTGAAGGCTCCAGAGAGCTAGAGTAATGGAGGGGAAGAGAGTGGCTATAACCACTTTGGAGGGGAAAACAAAAATGATGTTAACATCTCAGACAGAAAGCTTCCACTCATAAGGTGCCAAGTAGGGAGAGGCAAACAACGTTCTAGAATCGGCCCTCGAACGTACATGAATGATGGTCTTCCACCTCTTCCTGCCAAAGTCACTTCTTTCTTCTTCCCTCTGCCCCTCCTTTTTTTTTTTTTTAAGATTTTATTATTTATTTATTTATTTGAGAGAGAGAGAATGAGAGAGAGCACATGAGAGGGGGGAGGGTCAGAGGGAGAAGCAGACTCCCTGCCAACCAGGGAGCCCGATGCGGGACTTGATCCCGGGACTCCAGGATCATGACCTGAGCCGAAGGCAGTCGCTTAACCAACTGAGCCACCCAGGCGCCCTCTGCCCCTCCTTTTAAAAGCTATTTCTTTCCTTTTGCTTTATTACCCCTTGCTTCAGAGCCTGTGAGATGGCTGGAAAGATCTTGGAATGGACCAGAAAGATCTGAATTCAAATCCCAGCTTTGCAACTGATGCACTATTATGACTTTTTTTTTTTTTTTTTTTTTTTTAAATCAAGACCTAAGCTGACTGAGATCAAGAATCGGATGCCTAGGTGCGCCTGGGTGGCTCAGTTGGTTGGGCAGCTGCCTTTGGCTCAGATCATGATCCCAGGGTCCTGGGATTGAGCCCCATGTCAGGCTCCCTGCTTAGTGGACAGCCTGCTTCTCCCTCTACTGCTCCCCCTGCTTGTGTGCGCTCTCTCTCTCTCTGTAAAATAGATAAATAAAATCTAAAAAAAAAAAAAAAAGTCAGATGCCTAACTGACTAAGCCACCAGGTATCCTTCACTTTATGACTTTTAAATGAGTAATTTGGATTTGAGTTCCTTCATCTAATATGATCTTATCTTGATGAAAGGATAAGGCCTATCTTGCAGAATTCCTGTGAGGATTTCAGATGACCCTGACAATTCTAGGTGTTTGATAATAGCAATGATTATTGTTATATCATAATGATTATAATAGATATTATGTATTTCCTTTGTTCATTCTGTTCCTATATAATTTATACATTGACCAGTATTAGTTTCCCCCCAACACGTGCATATCTCCTCACCACTCTAATGAAATAGAAATGGCAAGTACTGGGGTGCCTGGCTGACTCGATCGGTAGAGCATGCGACTCTTGATCTTGGGGTCATGAGTTTAAGCCCCACACTGGTCATAGAGCTTACTTTAAAATAAATTTTTTAAAAGCCCTTATTTAAAAAAAAAAAAAAAGAAATGGCAAATATTTTCCAATTTACAGATGAGTAGCTAAAGTGCAGGGAGGTTGGATGACTTAAGGCTGAGAAACAGCAAAAAAGGAAATCAAATTTGTCTAATGTCTCTAAACTGGGTTCTCTGCTTCACTGGTGAGCACGGAGGCACTACTCCCACCCATGTGGCACTCTGAGTCAAGGCACTTCTAATCTGGCAGGGTCTCACACCCAGTATTCAAGGTGAAAGAATGGTTTGCATACTCACAGCACTAGGGCTCCTGTGAGCTACAGCAGGCAGGGCAACAGGTAAGGCTGCAGGGGTGGGAGGGGTTACAGAAATTGCACCAACTGGGTCTCTTGCAACAAGCATCCGGACTGAGTTTCCACAGTTCCTTAGCACTTGCGCAACTTGCTCGCTGGTCATTCCCTGCACATCTGTGCCACCAATCTTCAAGATGTGGTCCCCTGTCTGGAGTCTTCCATCCTTTAGTTGAAGAACAAAACAAAATTATTCCAAGAAATCAATGATCTAACTGCACTGGCTAATAACCAATTCATTGGACTTTCAATTCTGACACAATGGCTGACAGAGAATATAATATGCTAAATAAAACATAACAGTTTTAATGAATGCTGAACTGGCAACAGAGAAAAGGAAATCTTTGCCAAAAAAAAAAAAAAGATGGGTGGAGGATGTGTTCAAAAGGAGAACAGTAACTAGAATTCTAAAATGGGTATTTGGTTGAGGGCATCACTTCATGCCTAGTGGCCTAGAGCCAAGGTATTCATGGCCACAAAGGTAAGGAAGAGATCAGAAAACCCTGGGCCTCAAGAAGGGAAGGAGGTTGGATCTGAGACCTCCGGCATCAAGCTAGGAACTCTGAAGGCCAACAAACTCCGTGGCACGTTAAAGGATCAGCAAGATGTCAGTGTGGCTGGAAGAGAATGAGCAAAGAGAAGAGTATTCAGGAGGAGATGGGAGCATTAACTGGAGGTCAGCAGTGCAGAGTCAGTGGAAAGGGAAGTCACTGAAGGGTTCTGAACAGAGAAGGGACATTATCGAACTTACTTTCATCAAGATCCCTCAAGCTTCTGTCCTGAAAAGAGACTACAGGACAGGAAGCAACAGAAGCAGAGATACCAGTCAGGAAGCTAAAACAACTGTGGACTAGGTTAGCAGTTGTGAGAAGGAGACTCTAGATGTATTCCTAATGAACTCTCACAGGCTCTACTGATAGCTTCTACATGAGGTGGGAAAGGGAAAAAAGACTCAAAACTCCAAGTTTTTAGGCCAAGCAGTGGGTAGACAGCGCTATTAATTGAGAGAAAGAGGCCTGCAGAGGAATGGATGGGTGGGAGTAGAAATCAGGAGTTCAGTTTTAGAGATATTCAGTCTGAGATCCTATTAGACATGCAAGTGGAGATGTAAAATATGCAGCTGGATATACAGATTTGGAGTTCAGGAGAGAAGTCCAGACCACATATTTAAATTTAGGAGTCATTAGCATATATAACATATTTAAAGTCAGGATTCTGGGAGAATTTAGAGAAAGGATACATAATGTTCCATTTCTTAAGCTGGAGATATCTACATGGGTAATTATTATTGTTGTTGTTATTTAAAATGTTTTATTTCTTAAACTAAGTGATACATACATTGGTGATTGTCATTATTTAAAATGTGCACAGCCATTATACTTTTTTATATACTTTTAAATGTGTATATTTCATACCCAGAAAAGTTTAAAACATAATATATCAAAAAGTACATCAGTTGAACATGTTTAACATTTCCCTTCTACCTCCATTTGTCAAATTCTTGAAATAGCAGATCCATCTACATTTTGTTTCATCAGAAATTTTGAATTCTCTTTACTTACCTTTACCAAGTAAAGTTACCAAGATGTAAACATAGCTGGCTACAAAAGATTATATCTGCCTAGCACTTTACAGGTCAAAAATCACTTTTTATATATCATCTCATTTAGACAGGGACAACTTTAAAATGAGCAAATGGGATTCAGACAGGTTGACTGACTTGACCAAGGTCACAAAGCTGCTGAAGAGCAGCTCTCATTTAGTCCTTTCTCTTACACTTTGATACCTCCAGAATGACAGTAGTAGACAATAAACTTACTGTTTTCCTATTCTCCAAGAAACTGCCTATTACCATCAAAATGCTTAAATAAAATGAAGAGGAAAAGTAGGTATTTTGCAGCTGGGAGAGAAGGACAGCCTGAGAATAGAGCAAGGACCATCGGGCCTATACAGTGCTAGGTTTCCAATTCCTGGCTACAGGAGGCACCATCAATAAGGCATAGATGAAATTCAGAAGGAAAAAGTAAAAATAAAAAATAAACATAAACATAAAGCCTTAAGACTAAAAAGTCTATTCTCTATCCTTCCTCTTCCCCAATTTTGCAGGAACCTGAATAATCTAATCTAATACTAGTATTAGATCCTAGTATGGAGTAAAAAGCTATGGGCTTTGTTGTGAGGTCTGCAGAAGGCCCTAGAAGCTAGTGGAGCGGGAGAAGAGGAGGAAAACAAATGCAATTCAATTCAGAAAACATTTGCAAAGACTCAGAGAAAAGACAGATGAAAGAGGAAATAAGAATTAGTGGATTTCTACTTTAAGCACTGGTAATTTGATATTGTATCAATGCAACAACCTGAAATAAAACAAGTAACTCCTCAAGAGAAAGTCAGTGGTCATGATGAAAAACACTGGTAAAGCGGCCTCTGTAAATCAAACCATCCTTGGCCTGACCAAAGAATAAAGAATATGTCAAGTAAGTGAACTTGGCTTGGCCAAAGAATGCCACTTCACTGTAAGTCCATATTTAGTCACCTCTAGGTACAATTTTTTTTTCCTATTTTACCTCAATTCAAAATGATGTAATTTGCATCTGTCACTGAAAGTCAAACATTTTCTTCTTCCAGAAAAACAGGTGTTCTGAGGAATTCATAAGTGCAAACACAATCAGTCAGATTGACAGGAAAGACACCAAAATGACAGCTACCTTGTTTAAGTCCAGCAGCCCCAAACACTGCATTTTACTGATATTTTTTGATTGACATTCTCCTTCCATAACCTGTCTACTGTGCAAGTAAATTAAAACTCATAGAGCTCCTTTAGTTCTTTAACAGAAATCATAAATCAATGATAACCAATAAACAGCTAGGCCAAGATGCAAAGATACAGCATGCTAATCAAACATTCAAATATAAAGGTTTATTAACCCATAGGTTCTTTCAAAAGAGAAAAATAATTAGGCATATAGCCTAAGATAGTATGGAAGGCACAAAAATTAAAACAGCTGATGTGATAGAGCACCCCACATTACAGTGAAAAGACTAAAAGTATCATTTATTCACTTTAAAAAAAAAAAAAGATAAAATACTTTAATCCAAGTTAGCAGGTATAGGATAAAAAATATATTAGTTTGGGGCGCCTGGGTGGCTCAGTTGGTTGAGCGACTGCCTTCGGCTCAGGTCATGATCCCGGAGTCCCGGGATCGAGTCCCGCATCGGGCTCCCTGCTCGGCGGGGAGTCTGCTTCGTCCTCTGACCCTCCCCCCTCTCATGTGCTCTCTCTCATTCTCTCTCTCAAATAAATAATAAATAAAATCTTTAAAAAAATAAAAATTAAAAAAATAAAAAAAATATATTAGTTTGCATTTTAAATTCCCTGATAGGCAGTTTGGAGGATAATTTCAATTCAAAAAAATATTTGAGGGGCACCTGTATGGCTCAGTGAGTAGAGCATGCGACTCCTGATGTAAGGGTCGTGAGTTCAAGCCCCACATCGGGCATGGAGCCTACTTTAAAAAAATAATAAAAAAAATTTTTAAATATACTTTAATAAATTATTAATAAAATATTTGAAAACCTAAAGGAATTTAGGCTTGAGCTGCAAAATAAATCAAATTTGTTTCTTTGAAAACTAGAACACAGAAAATAAAATTATTACCAGGTTTGATTCCAGACCAGTTCCATCACTGGTCTTTAATCAAAAGGCAACATAACATAGGCAGAAAGTAGCAACTCTATAAACACTCTTTTCCTCAAAGAATTAAAGATACTACATCTCTGGTTTCTCTTCAGATCGCATAAATCTTTCGCCTTTTACTAAAGATACTACATCTAAAAACATCTATCCCATTTTCCTCAAATTCCCAGAGCCCTCATCAACTGATTTTTAACGATAAGGAAAAGATCTGTTTATAGATTCACTCAAAGCAAAATTTTCTTGGAAATATTCAACTATTCAGTGGCCTCAAGCTGGGCCTTGCTTATTCTAGACTAAAATTCCTCATAGTACACACCCACCCTCCAATCTCTGCTTGGTTACATTCCTTCTTGGTATGAAAGATTACTGGATAGTTAACATGACTCATAATTGCCTAATACCAAAAGGTCAGTAATTCATCACCACTTTTAAATAGACTGCATTGTTATAGTTACCTTCCGGGGAAAATGGGTTCACTTAGTGTACCTGATTCCCCTAGAATTTCTCCAGACCACAAGAAAGATACTTCTGTCAAACGAAGTTTTACACTACCCATTTTCAATTAAAAACAAAAACAAACTTCTGAACAGAATTCCCAAAAGATGTATGTTTAAGGTACTGTGATTTTTGGAGACTGAGGTTACAGGTAGATATGGGCTTACAGACTTAATAGATTTTAAGATTGATGTATTATGTATTATAGGTTATAGATTTAGAATATAGATTATAAAGCTCCCCTTACACGATACCATGTAATTTTCCTATCCATGGAATAGGCCCTGATCGCATTTACTGACTGGTCATTGTAACTAAATCTCAACAAGAGTTTTTTTGTTTTTTTTTTTTTAAAGATTTTATTTATTTGACAGAGAGAGAGCGAGAGAGGGAACACAAGCAGGGGGAGTGGGAGAGGGAGAAGCAGGCTTCCTGCTGAGCAGGGAGCCTGATGCGGGGCTCGATCCCAGGACCCTGGGATCATGACCTGAGCCGAAGGCAGACGCTTAACGACTGAGCCACCCAGACACCTTCAACGTGTTTCTTAAAAAGCTCATATGAATCACTATTTTTCAATTTCGTTTACTTTGTAACATTAGAGGCAGTAGACAGCAGAAGGACAAGTACAGGCTTTGGAGACAGACACACCCAAGTTCAAATCCTGGCTCTATTTTGATCAAGCTATAGAGCCAAAGGTTGGTTACTTATTCTCCCTAAATCTCAGATACCTCTTAAGCAAAATGGGAATGAATCCTTCTCCATTGATTTGTGAGCATTAAACTTAATTACTATATGTAAAGTCTTTAGTTGAATGCCTTGCTTATAGCAAATCATCAAATGCATCCATTTCTGATGTCCCTTTAGGCTGCAGTGACCTCAGTCAGGTGTTCTTAGGCATACTCCCTCAACTGTACCCATCTTTTAACTGTATATAATATCTGTAAACACAAAAGGAAATATAGAGGGCTGTTTCATGA